CTAGGCAAAAACAAAAGCAAGTTGTTAAAGAAGCATATGATGAAGATTATAACAAGCATAAAAATTGGTGGGCGTAGCATGTGAAAATAGAAACAAGACGAATTCAAACTGGTTTTCCTTTTCTTTTTTAATACAAAGCGACAGAGAAAATATGCAAAGAAACAAAGATTATGTTATTTCTAAAACTATAAAATTTTTGCAATTAGAAGGCAGGTTGTCGATAATCATGATATCAAAATTATTACTCAAAGTCTTTTAAGTCAATTGAACAATGCATTTGTTTGCTTTTATGCAAATAAAATTAAAAGTAATCATCTAATCTTTTATGATGAGACTTTTAATTTTTGTGATAATTATTGAAAGTGATTGAATTTTTGGGTAGTTGAATTCAATTAGAGACAAAATATCTATAGAATCATAATAGACATCAATTTTAAAGATCTTAGCATTCTAGCAAATATTAAAAACTTCCAAAATTTCTATAATCTTAGCAGTTGTACTACAATGAAAACTGGTTTATTTTGGGAAGAAGGTTGACGAACAATTGTTCAAGTTGCATGCCTTTATAATTGTTAATTACACTTCAATCTAATAAGTAAATGTTGAGCTCATGAATAAAGTTGAAAAAGTAGGTTATTCTGACCTTAAAAAACCAGTCCTTAATAGGCTTAGGTTTAAAAGAATCAAGCTTGAAAAAGTTTATTTTTCATTTGATACCTTGAGTTATAGAAGCCCACCCTCAAGATGATATGTTTGGGGCTGGCTTTATGAGCTTGAAGCCTTTTATCAAATTTTTATATTTTTTTAAAAAAATAAATTGCCTACATCAAACAATAAATTAAAGTGCCCATTCAAAATTATTGTCCAATCTTCTAAAATCAAGCCATAAAAGGCCAAAGAGTATAATAAATTTGAGTAAAATTAAAAACAAAACAACCAAATCAAGAAAACTAAAAGGATCCAAGCTATGAAATTGCGAGCTCAAAGCTACGTGTGCCAGACTCACAGCAAAACTGAGAGGGACTGTTGCACTGGGTCTGGGTAATCGAGACGCAATTGAGATCAAGCTACTTACTGCCAAGGAGTGGCGAGACTGAGAATCTGAGATTGAGGGAAGAACAAGGAAAATGGTGCTGTGGTTTTGGTTCGAAGAACAATATGAGAATCGGAGTGTCGGACAAGGAGGAAGGTACGGCCATGGTTTTGGTTTGACCTCAGATCAGATGTTGCCGTGGTCGTAAACGAACTCATATCAAATCTGAACTGGGCAGAGACATATCGAAGATGAACGTGGACGATGGAGAGATGAATCGAAGAGAAGAGGGATGCTGTTACGACTCGTGAACAGCGGACTGTGCTTTCATGCTCTGATGAGTTGAAGACGATAACTGAGCAGTGAGTTGAAAAACATGATAAGATTATTAACTTAGGGTTAGTTGGATTTTTTTAAGGTTTTTTCTTCTCTCCTATGCAAATATGGGCTAAAATGTGGAGACTGACCGAACTTAAGTTTTTCCCTAATCCAACAATCCTGTCTAAATTGATTGTAAAATAATAATAATAATAATAATAACAAATGAGCTTAAACGTATACAACTCATTTATTTTCAAGTCTATTAGAACAAGCCCGTTTAAGTTTAAATTATAATTATTGGGTGTTAATTACAACTTTGGCTCTCGTGTTAAATGGGCTAAAATGGGCCAACTTGACAATCTTATCCCGTTTTTCTAACTTTACTCATAAATTCTTATCTTTGATATTTGGAATAAAGGGTTTGATACTATGAAAAGGTTTTAAAGTATTTTTGGGCCCACCTCCATGTCATAATTCTTCTTTAGGGTTCTTGAAGTTTTTTTTGATTTCCCTGATCATATTTGATTATTATTGGATCCAATTGAAACTAACTCATTTAAAAGCATTTTCTACATTCACATGGATTAAAACATGAGATTTTGTACTTAAGTGATCATAATCCCTTCTATTAAAACCAATGCCTTGGTTAAAATCTCTTAATTTTATTATTACGTGTTGTGGAGTTCGAATTTTAATAAAATATTTGGTGATAACTAGAGTTTAGGCAGCCCAGTTTGGGATTCCTACCCAACCTTAGCCCAATTGTTATACTATAGTCTCTCTAGTTTTATAAATAAGCTACCTTTTAAAAGAAAATTTTGATCTTTTTTTTTTGAGTCATTTTGCATAAAGAAATATGGATCATTAATTATTTTTTTAATTTTATCATTTCATAATGTTCGATAATTATAAAGTAAAAAGTTATAGAAAAGATAAAGTGTTTTTAAAATTATGTTAATAAGGGTAAATTTAAATTTTTTTTAAACAACATCAATAATTTAACTACCGTTTCTTAATTTTGATAAGGTAGCTAGAACTTATGAGTGACATATAAATAAACCAATTAATGAGGGGTTTGGATTTAGCGAAGAAGACCAATACCTCACAATATCGTGAATCAAAGTTCGAAACTCCGTCGAAACAAGTGGCGAGACTGAGAGGGACTGTTGCACTGGGTCTGGGTAATCGAGACGCAATTGAGATCAAGCTACTTACTGCCAAGGAGTGGCGAGACTGAGAATCTGAGATTGAGGGAAGAACAAGGAAAATGGTGCTGTGGTTTTGGTTCGAAGAACAATATGAGAATCAGAGTGTCGGACAAGGAGGAAGGTACGGCCATGGTTTTGGTTTGAGCTCAGATCAGATGTTGCCGTGGTCGTAAACGAACTCATATCAAATCTGAACTGGGCAGAGACATATTGAAGATGAACCGAAGAGAAGAGGGATGCTGTTACGACTCGTGAACAGCGGGCTGTGCTTTCATGCTGATGAGTTGAAGATGATAACTTAGCAGTGAGTTGAAAAACGTGATAAGATTATTAATTTAGGGTTAGTTGGATTTTTTTGAGGTTTTTTCTTCTCTCCTATGCAAATATGGGATAAAATGCGGAGACTGACCAAACTTAATTTTTTCCCCAATCCAACAATCCTGTCTAAATTGATTGTAAAATAATAAAAATAATAACAAATGAATTTAAACGAGTTGATCCTCAACTAGCTAGAGCCAGTTCATTTATTTTCAAGCCCATTAACATTAGCCCATTTAAATTCAAATTATAATTATTGAATGTTAATTACAACTTTGGCTCTCGTGTTAAATGGGCCAACTTGATAGGCTTGACCCATTTTTTTGATTTTACTCATAAATTCTCATCTTTAATTCTTGGAATAAAGGGTTTGATGCTATAAAAAGACTTTAAAGTATTTTTGGGCCCACCTTCACATCACAATTTTTCTTTAGAGTTGCTAAAGTTTTTGATTTTACTGGTCATGTTCGATTATTATTGGGTCCAATTGAGACTAACTCATGTAAAGGCAATTTTCTACATTCAAATGGACTAAAACATGAGATTTTGTGCTTGATCATAATCCCTTCCATTAAAACCAATGGCTTGATTAAAATCTCTTAATTTTATTATTATGTGTTGTGGAGTTTGAATTTTAATAAGATATCTGGTGATAATTATAATTTAGGAAGTCCAGTTTAGAATTCCTACCCAACCTTAACCCAGTTGTTATACTATAGTCTCTCTAGTTCTATAAATAAGCTACCTTTTAAAAGAAAATTTTGATCTTTTTTTTTTTCAGTCATTTTGCATAAAAAAATATGGATCATTAATTATTTTTTTTAATTTTATCACTTCATAATGTTCGATAATTATAAAGTAAAAAGTTATAGGAAAGATAAAGTGTTTTTAAAATTATGCTAATAAGGGTAAATTTGAATTTTTTTTAGACAACATCAACTACCTCTTTTTAATTTTGGTAAGGTAGCTAGAACTTATAAATAACATATAAATAAACCAATTAATGAGGGGTTTGGATCTAGTGGAAAAGACCAATCCCTCACAATATCGCAAATCAAAGTTTGAGTCTCCATTGAAAGAAGTGCTTGCATATGATGTCCAACCATGTATGAAATAAGATTGTCTCGATAGATAGAAAAATAGCTATAAGCAATAAAAAAAAAGTGATTTATAAATAAGAATAAGGGTGAGTATGATTGTCTTGCACATCAGATAATGGGAAGCTATTATGAAGGTGTGGATCTGCGAATGTTTTTTATTTGTTGATGCGTTTGTTCCGCTTTTTATTTCATATCCTTCAAATCTTATGGGCTTCCTTGCTCCCAACCTTTGTTTAGTCAATAATTCAAATGTAATTGGGCTCGGCCCAAAAAAAGTTAGTCGTCATTTTGAAGGAAAAACTGGTTTTTTTTCTAGTATTTCATTGACAAAAATAATTAATTAGGCCAATCGTTCTAAATAAAAATATTTAATGCAAATTAATTTCAGTTGAATACCATTTGATTTTGTTATAAGTAATGTCACTTATTTTACGATTTTCTAAGCAGGTGTGTAAAATAAAACTTCAAAAGAATAATTCACGGTTAAAAAGTACTGATAAAATTACTCACAAATTACATGGTCAGACTCTCAAATATCATTAGAAAAATTTTCCTGAAAACTTGTTATCGTATTCTAAAAATTAACCAAGCATATGAAATGTTCAGATTAAAATGATACACTTTTCTTAAAAAACCAAGTCAAGCGCATCAGGTTTTTGAGGTTAATTATTTTTTTCCCGAAAAATTGTCATATTATGTTCTTAAAGTTAACCAAACATATAAATTTTTCATAATAAAATCATACATCTTTCCTGAAAAATCCAATTCAATACCATCAAATTACTCAAAGGGTATTTTTATCTTTTCGCACCTAGAAATATTGACATCGAAAGACCAGGAACATATAAAATGTCTTAAATGGGGTTTGAGATTTTTTGTCCAATTATTTGCGGTGACATGAAATGACAACATGCGATATAGGGTGTGAATAGAATGACAACATAATGAGCCAAGATGTGGCAAGGCTTATACATATAAATACATACAGAGAGAGAGAGAGAGAGAGAGAAGTGAGGACGATGGCATAATAAAGGAGATCATGGGGTCATATTCATCTAATTCTCATAGAACAGATAGTTAACCCCAGAGGAGTGAAACTGGGAATACATGGCGAATTAGCTTCCATTATTTGCTAATTTACTTTGTGTTCTCAGGTCACCCCTTTGGGGCACTCTGCTTTCACTTTTTCATCATTCAATCTTACTCTCGATCTTCCCTCTATGTAAGTTCTCTATATATATCTCTTTGCTTAATTATCTGTTCTATATGCCCACTTCAATCAATGCCAATCTTTAGTTTTTCTCTTCATGTCATCACTGGTAAAAGCTTACATATATATTTGATCCAGATTCATGTATAGATGATGCAGATTCGTGCAACTCAAGTGTTTGCAGCAGTTTCTTTTCTGTATACTATATGGATGATTCAGAGCTGTTTGACAGTTTTTTATTTTCTCTAAGGAAGCCCAGACGTGATATTTCTAGTCAGTTTTTTAAAATCTTAGTGAAAGATTAGGGTTATTATTATTGAGATGGAGGGTTTCTTCAAAAAAAAAAAAGAAAAAGAAAAAACAGGGTTAAGTGTATGATCTGACTTTCATGGTGCAAATCATCACCGTTCATTCTTTTTTCATTTAATCCAATGGCTGTTTCTCCTTTGACAACAGCAGATTCGGAAAAAATTAGGGAATGTAGACAGCATTTTACTTTATGCCAATTATTTTAAAAAACAATTATAATTTAAATATTCATTTTAATAGTAAGGCCCTGAACTTAATTTGAATTAATTAGAGATTATATTTTAAATGATTCTTTATTTTAATTTAAATACAATAGGTGGTTATCAATAATTATATGATGAGTTAACATTTTTATGTAACCAAATGAAAATAAATTAATCTTTAAACAATTGTAATTTTTATTAATCTAATACCTCATGCCTGTGCATTTTTTTATTTGTTTTTTATATTTTTTTATACTAATTAATTACATTTCTTTTTTATTGTTCTATATCATTGTTATCAATATTCTGTAATCTATGTTAACAAATTTTAATAGTATTACTATTACATCATCTTAAAACAGTATGGATCAAATTGTTAAATAAGATAAATTTAAAAGGATCAATAACTGAAGTGAACTTGAAAGATTAATAATTTCATTATCTCTATTTAAAATTGTTTGTGTGAGGTTGTGAACAATTTTCCCTTTCAGTTTCACTAATTTACAAAAAATATAAATAAATTCTATCTAATTAATAAATATTTAAAATTATAATTTATTTTAAAAATAAGATAAAAAATTAATTATGATTTTAACTTAGTTAAAACTCAATCCCTAATTAACTGAGTCAAAGTTTAAGACTTTAATATTAAAAAATATTTAAAATTATAATTTTTTAAAAAAATAATTAAGATATTTTTACACAAAAAAATAAGATCTAACACGAGTAAAAATATTGACTCTCCCCCTTTTTTCCCAATCCCACTTGACTTTGGACATAATGGATTTGGATTCCATGCATGAGAGGCGTCAGATTAAATTAAATCTATGGTCACAAATATTTGTGCCGCTAACAATCAGTAAAACGGTGGGTGCTTGCGCGGACTTGTATCTCCTTTTCAAACAATCAATCAAACAAAATCATCCTCTTTTCCAACGTACTGAAAATTGAATTAATCGTTTATCAAGCAAAACATTAGATTAAGACTTAATGATTTAATTAAGGATCAATTTAAAGTCAACTGTTCGTCATTAAAATAAATAATTGAATTTATATATATAAAAATATTTATATTTGAATATAAAAAATAAATATTTAAATAAAAATCATTAGCTCTGCTTAAATAACTCAACAAAATTCAATAAATAAAGAAAAATATTATACATGTGAGTGTAATCCTAAAAAAATTTAGTGAACTCAATAAAATTTTAATAAAAATTAAAATAATTAAATTTTTTTTAAATAAATGGACTAAGTTGACCAGGGTCACTCCCAGATTAGTCTCGATTGACACACTACCTGAGATAGATTATAAACTAAATTGGCCAACTAACTAGTTCATCGAATTATCCGTTGGGTTTTCATTCATTGAACATGTAAATAAATAAACAAAATTAAATTTCAGACATTACAGCAAATGGCAATCACTTGTTTCTCTCTATCCCTCAAAGGACAGTGGGACAAAGCAAAACGATGACAATTGCCAATGACTAGAAAAACGGATGAGAAATGAACAAGCTTGTTGGTGGAATAGAGAAATGGGTTTCCGCGCAATGCGAGGACTAAGGGATGAAGGAAGAGCAAAAGGTTGATATCATCTTCGCACCCACCGTTTCCATAATTGTTGGTGGCACAAAATATTTTTTTACCATAGACTTAATCTTACATGTCTCACGCTGCCACATGTTGCCATCCTCCATGCTCAGGCTTCGTGGACACATGGGATCAAAATCCCTCACTTTTATGTGTAAGTTTTTCAATATATGTTTGATTCGCCTCGGTTAGGGTTATGCAAAAGTTTTTTAATTTAATGCTATCCTATTTAATTTAAGACAAATTTAATTCTATTTAATTTGAATAAAAGTTAGTTTTTCAAGACAAAAAATATCAAATTCTTTATTCAGGTTATACTAAATAAGAGATTGAATATTTGAATTACTTGATTCAATTCGGTCCTATAAATTTATTTATTATAATTATAATTAATTTATTAATTATTATTAAAATAATTTAATTTATAATAATAATTAATATTTTTTGTATTTATACTTGTAAAGTTATAAATATTGAGTAAAATTATAACATTGACCAATTTTAATTTTTTCTTTTATTGATAAAATTTGTTGTTAATTCACTGTAATAAACTTCAAATATATTGAAGGTTCTTTAATTTAAATAATTTATATTATAATTAAAATTTTTTTATTGTTGTTGTAAATTGATGTGAATTTATAATTATTATTGTGATAAATTTTATTTGACTATAAGTAATTTATTATGTTAATTAAATTTATTATATTAAAATAAATTATTATCTTTCATAGATAAAAAATAAATAAGATTACTTAACAAGATCAAGATTAATTTCTTAGTTTTACTGAATTAATTCATCCCGTTTGACTTTGAATTATATTAGGATTGAATTAAATTAGATCATGAGTTACTTAATTCAATTTTTTTTAGGAGAGAATGATCGGACTTCGAGTTACATCAAAATTATGTTAGGTCAGACTTTTGCACAGCCGTAGCTTCGGCGTTATTTGCACAGTGCTGTCTGGTACTGCAACCAGAGAGATATAAATGCATATTGAGTGTGGCCCACGTGCCTATCTTCCTCGCATGTAAAATGAAGGTAAATTCAATACAGGTCACAATTGGCCCCAATAATTAAATAAATAAATCAAGCTCACAATGTCCTCATGGTGACGCCATCATGTCCATCTTCTTACAATTCAACAATTTCCCTCGCACAAAATAATAAAATATAATAATAATAATAATAATAATAATAATAATCAACATTTCGTTACTTTATGAGTACACAGTACACATAAACATCTCATTCGATTAATCTACTGTAAACAATTTTTTAATATAAAAGTTACTTTCTTTCTTTTAAAAAATATACTTTCATGTAAATAGAGAAATTTATTTTTTATTTTAATTTCAAGATTATTTTTAGAAAGATAAAGAGCGACATCATTCCAACAAAAATTTAAAATACTGATGCATTTGGAGAAAAAAATTTAGAACAAATTTACTTTGTACCCAAAATTATCTTTAGAAATTTGGGACTACAATGCTACTTAATGCAAAACACTCCCACATATTGCCCACCCAAGGGCCTCTTCTCCGTATCTCACCAACTGACCCACTTTCCAAAAAATTTCAAATATTTTTAAGAAGAGATCAATAGGAAAATTATGAAAGCAATATATTTTTGAGCAATGGGTTAAGTGAAAGTTTCATATTTTATTTTATTTTTCAACAAAAATTTTGATATTTTCTAAGGTAAGGAAATGTCTAATTACAATCTAATATATCCCCAACTGTTCTTGTACACACGCGCACACAATTAATTTAACGTTATCACTGGAATCAACAAAATGTTTAAAAACTCGTTAAGTACTCTATCTAAAGCTTAAAAAAAGTTTCTAATTTTACACTCATTTAAATCCATATGGTAAAACTTTGAAAATGAAACTACATTAAACAAGAACGATAGGAAAAATATGCAATAAATAACTCATATAATGCTTTATAAAATAAAAAACATCAAAAACATTTTCCTCCAAATATCTTGTAAAAATGACACGATGGAGTAAGTGCTCGTTTGAATTTCAGTTGGGTATAATAAATTATGAAAATAATTGATTAAGTGATAGATTTTAATCATAATTAATTATATTATAATGCAATCTATTTGGATACTATTTTTAAAATTGATTTTAACAGAATTAAAAATGTTTGGATAATTTAATTAAAATTAATTTTTAACTATATAATTATTATATAATTTAATTTTTAAATATTAAATATTAATTTTTTAAAGATATAAAATTTAAATTTTATTAAAAAAGAATTTAATTTTATTTTTATTAAATTATGTGCTTTCTTTATAATATTTTTTTAAACCTGTCTTTATAATTTTTTTTCCAACATTTTTTATAAACGTTTGGCAGAAAGCTGATGGAAGGAGTTTATGAAAAAAACGTGCGTTTTGGTCTCTTTAATTAATTTTGTGTTTTTGTGCTATTTGGATAATTTATTAAAAAATTAATTGTGGGCTTAAAAAATCAATTTTCTCTTCTATCTAAATACACGCTAAGCATTTGTTTACAACACAAAAAATACGAAAAGACAAACAAATTTAACGTAATTGTAATAGTCAATTTATCAGCATTACATACCAAATCAATCCAACATATCAACATAATTAAATTTCTCCCCTTTATTCTCCTCCCTTCCAACCACAAACAAATCAATTATAGATGAAAAGTACACATCAAACCTTCCTTCTGCCAAACCAAATTAAACCCGCCAAATGCATATAGAGCAAGTTCACAGAGCTTGAGGAGTACAGCACGTGCGATAGTAATTAAGCACCACATCTTGACATTGGCCTAACTTTCAAACCTAATCAAGTCACTCTAACAGTCAAAGTCAAAACAGAACTTGCCACATTCACTGAATACTATAATATTTTTTTATCAGGTAAATACTACTCTTTCTGTCTTAAATTATATAAACATTTTTTTTAATTATTTTAAATTATAAAATATAAAACATTTTGAGTAAATTAAAGTTTTATTAAATACATCAATTTTAATATTATTTTTTTTTTCAATAATTAATTTTCATTATTTTTTAATATATAAATGATGAATATTTTAAAAAGTTTATATTTTTATTTAAAAAGATGAAATGTTAAATATATTTAATAAGATTTATTGATATATAAAATTTTATTTAAAAATATTTTATAATTTAGAATGAAAGGGCTTGTGATACAATGACTGATGATAATCATGGGGACGAAAAGAGTGGAATGGAATGTCTAAATCACTGCCCCGTAAAAGTTTCCTTAATTATTCTTTACGGACAAAAAAAAAAAATCTCTCTTTTCAAATCCAAC